TTATGATGAAATGTCAGGTGATATCTCTTAATTTGAACGCAATAGTCAGGACTGATTTCTCTATCAATAATATTATTAATAAATGAATAATCCTGGTAAGACGTTAAAATGAAAACACGATTATTTATTTTCGTGTCTATTGGAAATTCGAATTTTTCGTTCTTTTTTTTTTTTGTGTAAAATGTCACATGATTTAATTTGATTTCGTTTCACTTTTTTTTTCTTAATTTAATGCTTCATAGTATTTTTGAAACAACTTTTTCCTCTTCTTCTCTTGACAACACGTTTTTAATTGTCTGAATGAAGATATTTCATAACGATTTCGTCGAATCATCCATTCGTATATGTTTACAATTATGTTTGATATTGTAGCATTGGTGCAGCGAGGTTAGGATGATGTGCCGTATTCATTCTCAGAGCGGAAATACTTTTGTTGTACCATTCATCTTCAGCTGACATTCCTGAAATAAAGCAATAAATTAATTTATCTTATTTTTTATTATATGACTATTATTACTCTTTTCAATTATTAGTTTCATTAAAACTGTCTATTAATTTTGGTATTAATTGGACTTGCATGAATTAAAATATTGTAGTATTTTTTAAATCTAAATATTTTATAAATATTTAATTTGATCATTTTAGGAAAAAAAATTTTTTCAATTTAAATGTTCAAATTAAATATTGAAAAATGATTTAATTCATAATATATATATTATGCACAAAATGTTAATATATTCATAGATATCTTTGGAAACTATTCAATTTAATTTATTTTATTTTCTATTTAATTTATCTTTGGATTTTAGATCTGATCTTGAGATTTGAATTACCAAGATTCAATTCTATATATGTAAATAAATATATATTTTATATATATATTTAATTAATATAATAAAATATATATTCTATATATTTTTTCTTTTGTGTGTGTGTGTGTGTGTGTGTATGTGTATTTTGATTAAGAATTTAATAATATTTAATGCTAAAAAAAAATAAAATATTCATTGTCATTTCTTCATTAAAAGCGATTGAAAAACGAAAGTAAATTTCTTTTCTCTTATATTAGAATTAATAATTCAAGGATTCGATTTAATAAATTTTCCAAAAGGTTTATCATTAATCACTTGATTTTCCATCAAATTAAAACGTTAAATCATTATAAGAATCAAAGATATTGAGCGAAGACCTACACTCGATACTCGAATAAGAACACCAACACTAGTGAGTAGGCAATTCGCGAATAGTCTTGATTTGATTTTAAAGCGATATTCCATCTTGCACCGGAAATGATGTAAGACGGCGCTTGAGCGGAAATGGGGAAAACGTCTTGGACTGAACGAACGAATATTTGCACGGATGTCCGATCTCGTCATTTCCGGTTCAACATTTTACTGAGTTATTTAATAATTTTAGACCAACACCTTAAATAATTAATAAATAATTACACAACAAAAAAAAAA